TGAAAATTGGGAGGGAGCTAATTCCTCTTACAAGTTATTGTAAGCATCTGCTGAGTTAAAATATGTAACATTCTTTGTGAGTGTAGCATATATATTTTATCGAGCACGTGCTATAAAATTAATGAACATTCATGGAGCACTCACTCTGTCCGAAGCATGCTGCAGGGACTACGAGAGATTTAAGGATTTCTAAACTGATGTTTTCTCCCTCAAGAAGGGAAACAAGGAAGAGTAAGACAGTCCTCTGATATGTAGCAGTTACTGTAGGTCCTGTGGGGGCTCAGAGAGAGGGAAGCATGCTGGACCCACATGGCCAGTCCAGGAGGGAGGATGGGAAATGAGGAAGGTTTCAAAGAATCAGAGGAATGTGGATGGACAAAGAAGAGGAGGGAGAGAATTATCTAGAGGGAGGAGAGGGTGAGCAAAGTCACAGAAGCAGGACGTTTCAAGAGAGCTGAGGAAACAGCGTGTGTGTCCACGGGGAGGTGTGCGAGAGCAGAGTGTGACGTGTGGTTAAGATGGAGGCCACCATTTTCAAAGCAATGGGAGCCATGGAGGATACCTGAGAAGACTCCTTAATCCCCGCCCAAGGCAGGACTCCATTTTCTTCTGAAAGCAAGAAGAAGAAACATTTAGAAACGAAACCAGGAACACAAGCTGTTGTGTGTAAAGGGCTAATCCGTCTTCTATTCTTTTGCTCCACAGAACTCTAGCCATGTTGCTTGAAAGAGGGGTCATTTAGAAAACTGAAAGGAGGGGTGCCTGTGTGGCTCAGTGGGTTAAAGCTTCTGCCTTCAGCTCAGGTCATGATCCCAGGGTCCTGGGATCGAGCCCTACATCGGGCTCTCTGCTCAGCAGGTAGCCTGCTTCCTCCTCTCTCTCTTCCTGCCTCTCTGCCTACTTGTGATCTCTGTCAAATAAATAAATAAAATCTTAAAAAAAAAAAAAAAAAGGAAAGAAAACTGAAAGGAAAACTGATTTAGGTGTCATTGAGGGTAGGAGTTAAAAGTGGCATCAGGGGTCCTCTAGTGGGGGGTCTTGTGTTATCATTTTATGGGCAAGTGGCTGAGGTCAAAAAAGGTGAAGAGACCCCCTGAGATTGCAGGTGAGCTCAGCGTCACCCTCCTCACCAGTGATTTTTCAGAGACTTTTTACCGCAGGCTCTGGGGACTTCCAGAGTGCTCCGTATCGGAGGCCTCCCGAGTCCCCCAGCGCCGCCTGCTCTGCTCTCCGTGGGCATCAGTGGCTTGGGATGTGTCAGCCTTGTTGGTGTGTTCGTCCGCCAGTAAATAAAGAGCCTCAAGCCAACAGAACTTGAATGTTTTAGGACACTGCTAAGGAAGCAAGGCTCTGGGAGGCGGGGATTCAGCCTCATGGGCTACAAACCGAGGTAAGGAAACAGGGAAGGAGGGAGTGCAGAGTGACTTGACTGATATATTGGCTAGCCCTGACTCGAGACACAGGATTAGGGCAGAATCTATAATTGAACCTTTCTTCTTTGTAAAATAATTTGACTTTCAAGATTCACTTACTGGAACATCCGTGAAAATCTCCTGATGGAGTAGGCAAATGTAAGGAGAAGCAAGGAATGGACGCAGAGGATGAATTTACTTGGGGACCTAGCAGTTGTCAGTAAATACGGCTGCAACGTGGACTTTAGAGATAAAACAAGCAGCTGTTACTGGCTTCTGGCAAATTCAGATAATTCATCTCTGTTGGGGTAAGTTACCCCAATGGACTCTGGCTTTCATAGTCCGCTGAAACAATCTTGAATAAGAAACTGTTCCTCTTCACCATCTATAGGAATTTATGAAGTGCCCCTTTTGGATATGTCATTTTAGAGAATGAACCCTTTGTGTTTGGCTTGCTTTCAGGAAGTATTTGATCGACGTGAGAGAAAGGCCACAGAATACATTCAGAGTAGATTTTCAATATGAGCTTCCCTAACAGCACAGCGATGGGAGGCGGGACAGACTCAGCTTTTGTGGGGGCTGAAGTTTTTACAGTTTTGTTTGTTTGTTTGTTTTGAAGCTTATACAGTTTTTAGAGTCCTCTATAAGATAAAAATCTATAAAATCATGAGAGAAGAAGTGCCTCTGGTCATTTTGATATCATCTGACAGGAAATATGACAGAAGGAAGGAGACAGTAGTCTTAATTGATTGCAATGAACTTATCTTAACTTTTGCAAAGTTTACAGAATTTTACAAAAACGTCTGGCCGAATGAACTCATCATGGAGGTCTCCCACGGGAGCCTGTGTGAGGGAGGGAAGCCAATCTGAAGTTCATGCTCTGTTGGCTTCACAGGAGGCATTCCCTACAGCGGTCATGGGCCAAAACCAGTCACAGGGGCAGGACACCTGCCACTCTCTCTGACAGAGCAATGGAATCATCTATGGAGTGGAGAGAGCACGCCCAGCATCAGAGCTGAATCACGGTGGATATGTGATGTAGATGTAGTAGCTTATCTTCCCGGTCCCATGAGGGACATCTTATTACCATTCTGAATTTTTCCATGAGAAGGCTGAGATGAAGAGAGGTTGATTTGCCCAAGCGGGAGGACCTTTGTCCCGCCACTAGCCTCCACCACTTCTCACAATAACTGCCTGTCGAAGTCAGCTGGACGCACAGACCTCCATTGAACGGATCTGTGACAAGGTCACCTGCCTCAAGGTCACCTACTTGTGTGTGGCTGGTTCTCTGAGCTTTCCCGCGCTGCGGTAAGGTACTCCTTGAAATACTTACAACTAGAGACAGACCTGACATGCCAGGACTCCGTTCCAACTATTAAAGATATCTAACATCACTGTTTTTCAGGTATAAAATCAGAAGGCTGTGCATATGGAGAAACGCTGGAGGAACAAAGTATGTTTGGCTTCCTGTATGACTCGTATTTGTAATCGTTATGATGAAAAGCCCAAATTTTCTCCCAAAACAGCTTTTTATCCCCCTACTGATTTAAAAACACTTGTTATCGAGGTTGAGGAATTTAACAACATACCAAAAACAATTACCTTCCTTGATGCCAGTAATAAGCAGTAGAAAATATATGAGAAACTCAGCACTGCTAGTAATAAATATATTTACCCAAGAATCAGTGGGACAAGAAATGTGCATGATTTGTGGAGACAATTACACTTCGTTGAAAGACATTAGAGATAACCCAAGTTGGGGCACCTGGATAGCTCAGTCATTAAGTGTCTGCTTCCGCTCAGGTCATGATCCCAGGGTCCAGAGATAGAGCCCCACATCGGGCTCCCTGCTGAGCAGGGAAGCCTGCTTCTCTCTCTCCCACTCCCCCTGCTTGTGTTCCCGCTCTCTCTGTGTCTCTCTGTCAAATAAATAAATAAATAAATAAATCCCAAGTAGAGGAAGACATAACTCATGATAATGGATGGAAGAGTCAATACTAGGAATAAGGTACATTTTCCCTAAATTAATCCAAAAATTCAATTCGATTCAAGTTGAAACCATGCCAGGCAGTTTCCGTAGCGTCAGTAGGAGTGTGGGCTCCTGGGTCCCTGGTCAGTGGCAGAAATGTGATACCTGTGAGCAGTGGAAGCCAAGGGTATAGGCGTGGGGGCTCCCAACCCAGTGGGGAACAGTGTCTTCTGGCCTCTAGCTAACTTCTCCTTCTCCATTTTGTTCCACCAGCCCTCCCCACGCTTTGGTAACTAATTCCCTGTATTAAATTTTTCTATGCCTGAAATAGCTCAGAGGGTTCCTGTTTTGCTGACTGGGCTCTTGCTAATACAAAAATACCTACATGAGTGCTAGACTGAACGTTTGTAGGGTCTGACGAGACAGAAAGAATGGGGCTCTCTAGATGGGATTAGTGCCCTTCTGAGACACCAGAGCACTCTCTCTCTCCCGGCAGAGATACACAGAGGAGGTCATGTGAGCACACAGTGAGACCCTGGCTGCCCGCAAGCCAAGAGAAGAGGCCTCAGGATAAAGTCTACTTTGCAGGCATCCTGATCCTGGACTTCAAGCTTCCAGAACGTGAGAAGTAAGTTTTATGTGGTGGAAGCCGCCCAGACTATGGTATCTTGTAATGGCCGCCTGAGCAAACCAAGAGTAAAAAGAAAGTCAAGAAAGTATCAAAGATTAACCAAGAGGAAAAACCTAAATACCTGTAGAAAAACAGGCTGAGGATAAAGGAAAAAAAAAGAAAAAGCAACACAGTAAGAGGTGAGAAGAAGGATAAAGAAATAACTCCCTCTCATATCCTCCTATTGTTTTGTTTTCTTTCACAAAGGGAGAGAGGTTTAGGGGGTTATGTTTTATTTGCCAAGTGAAGAACTGAGGACTTACCCAGGGAATGGAATTAATATAAAAAGCCTAAATAATTGAAATCAAATCCCTTTTTCCCTCTTAGTAATGTTTTTTTGTTTTTTATTTTTAAAAAGATTTCATTTATTTATTTGAGAGAGCGACAAAGAGCAGAAAGGGAGCACAAAGGGTGGGGGAAAGGCAGAGATAGAGGGAGAGGGAGAACCAGGACCCAAGCTCCCCACTGAGCAGGGAGCCTGATGGTGAGAGGGGGCTCAATCCCAGGACCCCATGATCATGACCTGAGCCAAAGGCAGACGCCTAACCAACTGAGCCACCCAGGCGCCCAGTAATGCTTTCTAAACAGTAGCATCTATGTAGTTGTCTTAATCCTCCTTTTATTTATTTTTTTAAGGAAATATCAAGTTTAATTTAAGGGAAAAAACCCAGATATTGTCTGAGGAAACAACAAAACAAATTAATTCCTGAAAAAAAGAGTTCTGCATCTTGGTGATCTCATTTATTGAAAGGGTTGCAAAAAAATTAAAATACCCGTTAGCTTAAGAATTTTTGAGCTATCTGCAAATCAACTCATTTCAGGAGTGGAAGAATCCTTGGTTATTTCTTACTATCAAAATTTATGCAGGTTTCTCTTTTGAATGTCTTCTACATTTAAAGAGGCAATCATACAAAAACTCCTATATTCCAAACACGATAAATTCTTTGTTTCAGCTGAATGTTAATGGAGGGGCAACTAGTACAACACCATCTCCCCAGACAAAAAGAATCGGAATATTCCGTTTTGTTGATTTATAGATCTCTTCGTATGTTTCCTCCTCAATTTCTACGGTAGTCACAGTTTCTTCCACATCTCCCAATATCATATTTAAATGCTGATCATAAGCATGTAATCTGCCTCGAAGCTCTCTGTCATTTCTCATTTTCACATAAATTCGCTCATCTAGGCTGAGGTTGATGAGATCCAAGGGCTCTTCTACGGTGTTGGTCGGTTGTTGCTGGTCCACGTCGTCTGTCATGTTTCAAACCCTGCGCCCTTTCCCCTTAATCCTCCTTCTACTTGCCTCTGCTGCTAATGTCACCAATTCTAATATATTAGACATAGGTATAGCCAATTGCTAAATTTCAAGAGCATAGAAAAAAATAATGATGAAGCGATAGGAAAGAGAAATCCCAAACCTATGGCAGACTTGTCTGAAATGTGTTCTTCTAACAGGTATTATTTTTTTCTGTTGAAATATTAAGGATATTAAACTGAACATACATGCAAAATATGGTGTTAGGTGAAGCTGGGGAAACAAAATTTAGTACTTAAAAAACAAGAGTGAAATCTTCCTGTAAAAAAGATTTTTCAAGGCAAAAGTACTTTTTTTTTTTTACATTGGTAACATCCAAATGGTACTTAAAGCCAATTTCCTGGATGATCAGCAAACAGAAATTTTGCAATGCACTACAATGCCACAGATTCTCTGTACTGTGCAGGAGACTTAGGGAGAGAATTTGGCAAATTTAGGAAAGATAAGAATGTCAGACTAGAAAACTTGCACCTGGCCCCAAGCAGACAGCTGTCCTTTAACTAGACCTGACACAAAACACCTTTGTCTGCTCATTCAAGCTCTCTTGCCTCAGGGTGCTGAGAAGCCAGACACCTTTTTCTGTAGCTATTGTTTTTATGGTTAAGTTAGGAAGACAACATTTTTTGACAGGGCATTTTTTAAAAGATTTATTTAATTGAGAGAGAGAGAATCTCAAGCAGACTCCCCATTGAGTGTGGAGCCCAAAGTGGGGCTCGATCCCACGACCCTGAGGTCATGACCTGTGCTGCAACAAAGAGTCAGAAGCTTAACGGACTGCACCACTCAGGTGCGCCCAGGGCATTTCTGAATCAAATCTGAATTTAGAGCTATGATTCTCCTAAGAGGAGAAGGAATATCAGAAATAGAATCTTCTAGGGGCTTTGTTGAAACCTCCCATGACCTCTCTTCCCGGTCCCCAGGGGGCAAGGGGACGCTGGTCCTGATGGGAGGGTGTGACATTCCCTCAGGCCCACATGGCTGGAGGCGGGGGGGGGGGGGGGACACGACGGTTGAGAATCAGTAACATATAAGAACAGGGAGAAGTATTTTATTGCAGTGATAAAGCAGTGTAAAAAAATGAGAATTCTCATCTTGGTTTTATTTCCTTTACTTTTACAAAACAATTGTTTTAAGATTTTCTTACAAAAAATTTTTAAAAGACATACAAATGACATTCGGGAGATGAGAATAATATTCCTCCTAATACAAAGTCATTAAAGTAAATAAGAGTTCAGGTGCCACACAGCACAAGGCACATTTATTCACCAAGACCAGAAGCCCCTGAATCAATGACTTCTACTTTTTCCAACGCAGTATTACTGGCTGTGGGAAATAATCTGCCTGAACTCTCTTTTTCTCTCTCCTGCTTGGCAGCCTCCTCCCAAGTCGTCGCCAGAGGCCTCCCCATGGTTTCTGGAAGCATTAGCGACAGCATGCCACTGACGAACGCCAAGATCCCAACAACCAGCTAGAGGGAATTAAAAGAACAATAGCAAGTGACATATCAAGAAAGAAATGTACCCTTCAGAGAGAACAGTAATTTCTGAACCTTTTACAGAGGGCAACAGCATTAAATTGGAGGGAAGAGTTGTCATTTTTACGCCCCGGGGAAACTTCGGTTACTTATGCGGTCCTCAGAGCTGGTCCAGTCACTGGTTTGTTCATTCGACCACCATGGAGACCTACTCAGCAAATCCCAGTTAATGTCTACATTAGTGCCCTTGCAGGCACTGTCCTAGGAGCTGCACAGAGAAAAAAGTCCCTGTCCCATCTTCTCCAATCCTAGAGAAACCCAGCAATTGAACCCTGGGTTGGGACTTCATGACCAGAGACTGTCTTAGTCAAAGTTGTCCCTGCCCCCCATATCGGTACATGATCAATATTCAATAGATGACGCAGAATGAATGAATGAATGAATGAATCCACAAATGAGTGTTTCAATGAACCCAAACCTACAGAATTTAGAGAGAACCAAACAAAGGCAAATGGAAACTAACTGGTACTTTGGGGGGTAAGGGTCCATGTGATTTCCTAAAAAAATTCAGTATTTCTTTACTTTCCAAATTTTCACACCCAAAAGGCAAGCTTTTAGATTAGCACCAAGGTGGTTTGCCTTTAAAAATGCAAATCACATTATACCCATTTCACCTCAATTTAAGAAACAGCAAATCGCATTAAGATTTAAAGACTGCCTATCTATTCTCAGTTGATCCTTATAGAGATCCTGGGTGGATTCTAGAACTAAATCTCTACACAGTCTATAAAAACGGGTCTCATCCTTACATAATTTAAATGCCTCCAGCCAAAATTACTGCCTGGGAAGAACTCACAAAAATAAAAGAAGGCATGGATTTCCTGACAGGTCCACGTCCTTGGAGGAGAAACTCGCAGTGCACAGTGCCTTGGTGGCATGAGGCAAGGCCCCATCAATAACAAGTGGGACCCAAGAAGGTGGGTTTTTATTTTGTTTTGCGGAACGCTGATAACCTAATTCTTCGAAGTCCTTGAGCAAGCCTAGAAGCAGTCACAGAATTTAACGTGACTTTCCGAAGGACGCTTTAAGGTATCTTCTGGTGCCTCCAGACATAGCAGGGGAACCCACTGGATAAGTCTAAAAAGAGTCACTGGAAGATCCAAACCACGACTGGATCTTTCTTTTTTGGCTTGGCCATGAGAAGGATCGCCAGGCAGGACACAAACACCATAACCTGTCACCTCCCTCCTCTTTCTCACATAAGACCTGGTCTCCTGCCACCTAGGCCAGCTCCCTCCGCCCCCTCAGGCGTCCTCATCACAAGCCCCCATCACTTGTTTCTCATCTCTCCCTCCCGCTTCACCCTCTCCAGACCCCACTGCCCTCTACCTCGGATGGCTGGGGGAGGGGGGACTGGTGGGGGTGGGGGAGGGTTCCTCTATCAACAGCCTCCCTCTTCTCTGCATGTTCTCAACCCTTTCCTTTCTCCCACTTACTTTCCTTCAGTAAAAATAACCGTTCTCAAGCCTCTTATAATCTCTGTGCCCGCTCTGCCTGGGAACTTGCTCCTGCTACCCGTGTGGTCTTGGTTACTTAAATCTCCTGCTCCTCAGTTTCCTCATCTGTAAGATGGAAATAAGAGTAGTACCTGCCTCAAAGGAGGGTTGAACGAATTAAATTAAATGACCCATCTAAGGCGCACTTAAAACAGTGCCTGTCCACGGTAAGCGGTCCGTAAATGGGATCACGTCATTCAAAGAAGCCAGAGAGGCCCCCAGCCTTGGCCCACACCACCCTAGCCCCTCAGTCTGCTCACCTCCCCTCACCTCTTCATAAACTGACTCCCACACCCACTCCTCTGGCTGACCTGTGGGGGCTTCCCACCCATCACACACAATTCCAGTGCACTGTCCTTCCCCATGTCAACCTGTCCCTCCTCCCGGGTTCCCTCCAGCCACCAAGAATGGCTCTGGCTTCCCTCCCACTCCCTACCTCCAGCACACCCAACCGTTCACCATGTCCTGTGGATGTGACTTTTTCATCCCATTGTCTCTAAGTCACCCTTAGCACAAATGCAGTTCCCTTCCGACCTCCTTTGATATCCCTGCCTGTTTGTCTAGAGGCTCTCCTGACTTCCATAACCCACCCTGGTGTTAGCAATAAGCATGACCCCAAACCCAAACTCATCATGTTCTATTTTCTCTGTAAGCCTTTGCCTTCCTGTTCCCCCTGCCTAGAATTCCCTTCTCTCTTTCTCCTCTGGCTGACTTCTACTGGCCCTTCCAGACATAGATTGGAGGACCCCTCCTCCAGGAAGCCTCCCCTCTGGCCCTAGCCTGGGTTGGTAGCCCTCTCCTGTATCCCATGACCCTGGCATTCTCCATGTTCAACCCTCATCTCTGGGGCCCAGGATGGTTTGTTCTTCTGCCTTCCCCAGGCACTGGACAGACAGACATCTCTCAGGACCAAGGCTGTTTCTTTCATCTCTGCTCCATAGCACCTAACAAGGAGGCTAGTTCAAATACAACACTCAACAAATCTTTACCAAACTAACTGAAGAATACAAAACTGATAGGAATTAGTGTCCCCTTATTTCTTAGACTACTAGAAAACAATGGTCTATAATAAAAGCATCAGAACAAGTGATTTTCACGTGCTTCTTTTTGGAAGAGAAAACACAAACTCATCTTCTAGATCAGCATTTCCATTCCTCCAAAGGAAAATATTGGCTCCCTAGGCACTTTGACACCCAAAAAGAAGCTTAATGAGAAATTTTATCATTTATTTTCTTACTCATTAAAAACAACCAGCAAGGGCACCTGGGTGGCTCAGTGGGTTAAAGCCTCTGCCTTCAGCTCAGGTCATGATCCCAGGGTCCTGGGATCAAGCCCCGCATAGGGCTCTCTGCTCAGCAGGAAGCCTGCTTCCCCCCACCCCACGCCTCTCTCTCTCTGCCTGCCTCTCTGCCTACTTGTGATCTAATAAATAAATAAAATCTTAAAAAAAAAACAAACAAACAGCAACAGCTGTTGCATCCAAAAGAAGCATATTCAGACTATCTCTGCCAGGAACACAAGACCCTCCTGACAGAGGTTGTCTTGGGGAAAGAGGACTGGGCACTGAGGGTTAGGGAGGAGGACTTGATTTCTTTGCATTCCCTTCTGCACTGTTTGTTTAACCTGTGTGAAAAGCAGAGTGTTTGGGTTTGAATCCAAGCTCTGTCACCCCCGTGACCTTGAGCTACCAATTATTTTCTAAACATCAGTCTCCTCATCTTTAAAATGCGGATAGCAACAAACAGTATCTGTAATCTATGAAGACCTGTTTTTTTTTTTGTTTTTGTTTTAGTTTTGCATAACAAGTGCTATTTAAGTACCCGGTAAACAAAATTTAAAGTCCCTTTTGACTCCATAGCCCCTAACGGACTATTATGGATGTCTTTTCTTTCTTTCTTTCATTTTTTTTTGAA